TCCCTCTATTATCTAAAAAGGCCATTCTTTATACCTCCTATGTCATTTTTTTATACTTGTTTTTTGTCTGGTGGTGTATCATTTGCACCTTTTATTGTTTAATGTATAGAACGGTATTTATATGGTGGTGCTTTCTAATACAGGATGATAATAGCTTACTCCTAACTAACCCTTGGGCTTTAAAGCAGAGGCAGCTGTCCTGGGCCCCATCATTTACAGGGGCCCACAGTTCCTAATCCTTTTGCCCAAGCGGTAGACAGCACAAATACAGCGGCACCGCCAGTGTGGAGACTGGCAACTTCTCCTCCTCTAGTATTGGTTCCCAGCTTGTCACTTCAGAGGCTGGGAACCGTCAATGTCTGTGTGAGATGCCTGTGTGCCTTCTTCTGCTTTGATCTTCTCCCCTGATGCCTGTCACATAGACACAAACATATGGGAGATCCAGGGAGAAGGAGAAGGAGGGGGAGGGCACAGCAGATCAGGTAGAAGCAAAAATGTTATTTAATAAATGATTGATTAATGCTCAGTTATTCTTGGACTAATAGAGTATCAAAAATTAAGCAATTCAGCAAAATCTTGCCCAGGGCCCAATTAATATTAAAGATGGATAGGAGGAGGAAGAATCTGCTGGAGCAGGGTCATTCCTATAACAAGGCAGCCTGAAGCTGTTGCCTCAGGTGACATCTCGTAGGGGGGAGCAGGCAGAGTAGCATGGCCACTCTGCTGCACAATGTTTGCATCATGCTTGCTGCCTCCTTTGCGGCCAGAGCATTCAGGTTGCTAAGAGCCAGGTGGGGAGATGCGTAAGGGCCATCCACATCTCTCCACCTAGCTCTTGGCAACCTGGGACACTCTTGCCTGCATCCCGCAGAGCTACAGGAAACCAGGTTCAGGGAGTGGCAAAAAAGCTAGGGATGCCCCTGTGCAGGAGCCAGAGCACTTTACCTGCAATTAAACTAATAACATTTGCAATACTTTACTGACTCCAAGCAAAAAAATAATAAAAAGAAAGGCACTTTTTTTTTCTTTTATGAATATGTGTGCATTTATATAGTGTTTTCTTTTTTTTTTTTAAGTGGACTTTACCTTTAAAGTTTATGTCAACCTAAACCTTTTATTCTTTTTCTTTTAGTTTAGGATAGAATGGGAAAGACTTGAAACACCTAATAGATTTTACTTCTATCGGGAGCTTGGTATCAATAATTTCCCCTAACCTACTTTACAGTTTCAATGAACAGGAAGTGATGAAAAATCTCCAATAGTAACATACAAAAACATAAGTAGAGAGCTAAAACCTTCTTGAGCTTATTTATTGCTTCCAATGTCCTTGTTTCAGAATTGTCCTCTCCTTCTTTCTGGTATAACCGCTGTCATGCTGAGAGTAAGTGAGAGGAAATCTCTCTAAGGCTCCATTCACAACTAGGCGTATTGTCGCAGCTGATTTAGCGCAACAAAACCCTCCACCCAAGGAATTTCATTCATTTCTATGGCCCCGCCCCCGTTCACACCCTTGAGTTTTGTAGTAAGCAGAAATATGGCTGTCACTCCAAATAATAAATTCCAGCGCCTTTTATCCCATAGACTCAATAGAAAACACTTGAAAACGCACATTGCCATTATTTTTTTGCCCGTTTTTGCATGTATTTTGCCCATTCGCATGCATGTGCTAAAATCTGCACACAAAAATGCAGAGCTTAATAGGCGCAAGCAAAAACCTCTCAAAAAAGACGCTCGTAATAGGTGTCGCCTAGGTGTGAATGGAGTCTGAGTCCCCGTTTACACATGGGTGTCTCTTGAATGCGTGTCAAACATGCAAAAAAGTGCCTTTACTAGTTAAGGGCACCCCAAATGTGGTGCTTTCCCATGCGTTTGCATGTGTGAGAATGTGAACAAACACGCAGGAAAAAAACATGTTGCAAAATGTGTGGCATGTTCTACTTTCCCACGTTTGTCACATGTCCAGGAGACCATTAAAATCAACAGCAATGTGCGCCCAACAAAGGGAACAAACGCCCGCAAATGTGCAGGAACGTGCATCACCATTACGTACATTTTCATGCCACTATGGTGTGAGTGGGGGCTTAGGGAGCCCCAGATAGCAGAAAAAACCTGCCTGGGGTTCTAATACTTTCCACTATATCCAGAACTAGGAGCACTTTACCCTTTGCATACAGCTCATTCACACTAGAGGCATTGTTGTGCATTTTCCAGCTGAATGCAATTTTTGTTCTCAGTTAAATGAATGTTATGAAACAAAAGTCATTTTGAAGTAATTGAATCTGGGAGTGATCGATAAGTATGGTCAGAATTATGTCATGTACTGTTGTGTGAATTTATCCTCAAAGTAAGTGTAAACCCAATCACTAAAATCTCACTCAATCTGTAATTGCCATTGAAATAATACCTGGTGATCCTGCCATAAAGGATCAGAATCTTCCTGTTATGGTGTGACAAAACTCCGTCCCTGTCAGTTGCTCTCCTGCATTATCATTATATAAGATGTCCTTCTGTGGAGACTATTGGCTGATTATTAGCTGATTTACTAAAGGAGTTGAGAATGTTCACACAATACATTGCATGGATATTCACCGTATTTATCCAATCACGTGAAAAGCAAATTCCTTATTTTATCAGCACACGGCTGAATAATTGAAGTGACCATTCATACAATTTATTGTGTAAACAATACAAACTCCTCTAGTTAATCAGCCCATATGAGGCCCCGTTCACATGTAGCGACTTATCGCGCGATTTCCGCCACGATATCGCGTATTTTTGCCGTGCGGTATCGCGAGAAGTCGCCGGCTAATGAAGCCAATGGAGCTGTCTTAGCTCCATGTCGCTCGTCGTGGTCGCAAGTCGCTTCTACCGGACCCTTTTTTCGGCGGATTTTGCTTTTTTTCTATGGAGCCCGACGCAGAAGGTCGCGCTACCGTCGCTGGATCGTCGCTGGACTGTCGCCCCGAAAGTCGCGCTATCCTGGCCGCTGCAAAGGTATGTCGCTACATGTGAACGGGGTCTAAGTGGACATGCTGACGATCATGGCGTAGGCATGTTCAGCCTTTGTCACTATTAGGAAGCTTGTCTTAAACAATGACATGCTGCTGCAGCCAGAGTTCCTGTTTTTAGATGTCGGAGGAGATCAACACTACTAAAATGCAACGATGGATGAAAAAAAGGAAAAACATAGCAATCGTTAAAGCATAAAAAGTCAAAAGAAGAAAAAATCATATATTGCAGTTCACCAAACGTAAATGTGCTGGCTGCATTAGTTTTCTTTTTTTTCTTTCTTTTTTTCCTTTATTTTCACCTGGTGATCCAGCCAGTAAGTCTGTTATGCTGTTTAATATCCTTTAACAGACCAAGCTGTCCAGCAAAAGTGGCAGCCAAAGTGGCAGACAGAGGGACAAGACAAACCATTTAATAATGACAGGGAGGCTTACAATGCTCAGCTTGTAAACACCTTTATCCCACAAGGGTAAAAAGTCTGTTGCTGTAACTGCTTAATTAGTGTTAGCTGGAGTTTGGTTTTCATTTGTTAGTCAAATTAATCTAAAACTGCTAGAGCATCAAACACTACCCTCCCTACAGGCTGATAACACTACTGTCCTAGGGTAGCTCTGCTGCTCAACTGCTCGGCTGCTGGTGTGCGTGTGCCCGTACAGTGCACATGTGTGTGATTGAGCCATATTGTACTGTTTCTTTTTTTGTCCTTTTTTTTGTTAGAACTTCTGTGGGCTCACCGCAGTGCGATGTGGTTGTACCACGTCTCTATTGGGTGCATTTAAAAAAAGTTACTGTATGCCGTACTTTTTATTTACGTGCACATCACCAGAACGCAATGGTGTAAACTGTCACCATCCATGACAAGGCAAATTGCCTTCTCTTGCATTTAGGCTGCGGAGGAATAAACAGCCAGTGCATTTAAGTGTCCAAAAAAACCTGCGCTATCTGCCCCCTGTGTGTATATCTACTCCTACCGCCGACTAATCAGCAGAGGAAAGTGACAACTAAAATTTTATATATCACACAATCAATATATCGGTGGAATAAAATCAGAAACATTTATCAAAAAGACAAATTCCATGAATTCAATAGTGAAAAAAAAGGGAAGAAAAGTCCATATAGTGTTAAAGTTCATAAAAATAGTAATATGGATCAATTGACACCAAAATAAGTGTTCTTTATCTCTGTGTTCCACCTTCGGGCAATCAATCTCTTTTGTCCACTCACCAGATTCTCAATTGTCAATTGATCCATATTACTATTTTTTTCTAGCAGCCAGTCAAGACCGAGGACCAGGTGAGTATATTTTGTTTATTTGGGACCCTAGACCAAAACAAGCAGTTAACCCTTTCAGTGTCGGGATAGCCTCACTGCAAGGGTTATCTTTTTAAAATCCTGGAATTCCTCGTTAATGATTGGAAAGCGTTTTAGCAGAGCGAACGTCATCCAGTTAGAGTTCACATCTATTTTTTAATATAAAAGTTTACTAAGCTTTCACTGGGTTCTGGCCCAGGCCCCTTGGGGTTCTTTTGTGGTTCTGCTGCTTTCTTTTATTGCACAATTTTTGTGTTCCTTTGTACCTCAATGTTAGTTTTCATGTTTAATATTCAGAAAAAAAAAAGTTTACTGAGCTTCATTATTAGATAATATGTTGCCATAAGGTTGAGGAACTGTCAGCTATATCAGTAATCCGCCTACTGCAAATTTATATTCAAATGTATCTTCTTTCACTTCCTGGACAGAGAAGAGGAGTTTCCCTGCATTCTGTTATACAGTAGAGTGTTGTATCTACTCATCCAGACACAAGGAGCTGCAGCAGCAGCAGCAGCAGCAGCAGCAGCAGGAGCTTTAACTTCCAGATGATGTGATGAAAACTTAAGAAGCATCCTCCATGCATCAGCCAATCAGAGCGCAGACCAGTGTCAAACTTTCCTCCAGTGAGCTGTGCGGAGAGTGGTCCCTGCCCCCAGCCCCTTGTCATTCTCCAGATGAGCCCCGTCCTGGGTGTGTGGAGCTGAGCTGCCGATTGGCCGGGGTCTGGCATGTCTATTGTGTGCATGCTAATGCAGCTGCCTGTGTCCTCAGCTCGCTCGTCTATAAGGGACATATGGAGCCAGCATCCAGGAGCAGGGGATGTGACAGAGTCGCCTACAGACTCCTAGGATAAGACTTGAAGACTGTTCAGGGACTGTGCACAGAGGACGTGGCTGGGAGTCCTGCAATGAGTTGTCTGGATGTTATGTATCATCACCAAGTCTATGGGATGCACCAATATCTGCCAAGCACGGCAGCTTGTACCACAGCCTACTACCATCATCACCAAAACCCACAGGTGAGTACCAGGCATTGCCTGCTGGGTCATACATCACATCTAGAAGAAGAGCAGTCAGTGATATATAACAATCAGCAGTCTAGCTAGTTTTCATTTTTCTCATTATTATAGGTGAAGTGATCTTCTAGAAATGTTGGTAAAAATTATTTGTCTTGTAGGTATTCCAAATATTGTATTTCACAGTGATATTGTTCAAGAGATAGTGGGAATGATTTACTAGAGACTATTCACTAAGCATAGGGAATGTTCAATGAGGATAGTGACTAAGTAATGCTATGCTCACTTCAAATGCCCAATCATGTGTAAAAGATATTAAAAAAAAGTAAATGCAACTTCACATTATTCACTAAATACAACTTCACATTATTCACTAAACGTAACTTCCCATTATTCACTAAACGCAACTTCCCATTATTCACTAAACACAGCTTCACATTATTCACTAAATACAACTTCACATTATTCACTAAATGCAACTTCACATTATTCACTAAACGCAACTTCCCATTATTCACTAAGAAAAGTGAATAATCACTTTACAAGGTGAAAAGATAGTACCCCTTTAGTGAATGATCCCCGGTCTTTTTTATGTCATTGTCACCAAGTGGTGATCTATTAATTATATATA